TCTACATTTTGCATTTTAGCCTTATTGATGTTTATTGTTATATTGTTTATCGTTTCTCTCTTTACTTATGATACCCACCCCTCATGTATTGCCCCTCGGGACCCTTGAGGTACAATAAATAAATAAATAAATAAATAAATAAATAAATAAATAAATAAATAAATAAATAAATAAATAAATAAATAAATAAATAAATAAATGCTTCGCATTTAATACGCTTGATGCTTGTGCGAATTTGATGAACATGTAAAATTTAGAAATCACCCTTTCGGTAGCCCGCAAGACGAAGGACGTTTTTGTCTCATGCGTAATATTGTGACTCGGACCTCTTGCCTGAATTCCATGAAAATGCCTCTGTATAGATTGATAGGCCCTTTTTAAAATCTTCCTCAGAAAATTAAAGAAGTCCGAGATGCTTTAAAAATGCACGACAATATACAAAGCTATAGCAACGTCGTTTCTGTTGTCCTTTTTTTGCTACTTTGTTTGCACTGCACAATACTTTCCTCTCGAAATAAAGGGTAAGCGTAGAGCTGTATTCTAGGAGCAGGAGGAGGAGGAAAGCAAGGGGGCCAACCAGATTCGCACCCGGTCGGCTGCCCTACACTGGGGAAGAAGGGATGAAGGCATAAAAGAAAAAAAAGAAGGAAGAAAGTACTGTCGGGTACATTATACGGCATCAAGCTATTGCTTAACACTGTCAGATAAAAAAATATTGGCTGTGGTTTAGTTGAATTGTGCCTGGGCGTGCGTATCGAGAGGCGTGCAGCTCGTTCTTCCTCCGTCTCCTCGGTTCACTGCCTCCTGCTGGTTTCGTTCCGACGACGAAGCCTGGCTGCTTTCAGTCTCTCCGACTAACTTTTCATATCTTCCGACGAAAACCAACGAGCCGCCCCTTCTAAATACTGTACGATGTAACACCAGCTCCCCCTTCGATGTTGCAAGGCGGTTTCACCGGCCCCTCCTCTGACGTCATAGCGAACCGGCGAGCACATGACCAATGTTGTTCTCTCTATCTCGCTGCAAAACAGTATCAGTACGCACGTCGCTTTTCTAGCCTGGGACACATGGAGCAATGATCCGAGGATCTACTTTTCTGAAAATGGTCTGTTACGTGTAGTTTGTTCAGAGGATTGCGTAGAACGGTGCGATCGCCCACAAAAGGATCAACGTACGAGGGATGTTTCATTGTTTCGCTGCTGTTGTACGGGCCACATCTGGAGGAGCCTGCAAATCCTATATGCGATAAGAGTATACAGCTTTGTGAAAGCCATGCACTCCTAACCACAGGCGGTGCACTCGCGCCACGGCGGGAGAGTGCTTTGGAATTTGCAGCTTTTTCGGTGGATTCCTGACTGCGTTGCTATGTATTAAAGATATATGCATATGAGATTTCTCGGTGGCTCTATAGTTTATGTAGTCGGTGGTTCCAGACACCGGGGAAGCTACATATAGTTGTGGTCTTCCCAAGAACGTTGTTGTGGGGCGACATCAGCACTGCGTCTGTTATCTTTGCGTCATTTATGAGCGTACGAAACGTCCCAACGGAGTGCGCATACTGCGATCACCGACACTCCTGTTTGGCTATGAATTTTTCGCAAATTTGAAATTCCCCTGATGTGCAGAATGCGCCACGTCAACATTACAAGCTGTTAGTAAAGAAGGTTTCTGTGCACCATTACCAAACATTTCATCGAAGCCTGCAATGAAACCGTTCTGCTTTTGTACATCGTCTGTACGTCCCATCCATGTGGTTTTGATATATGCATATTCTGAAATCTGTGTTTAATCTAGTTATTACAACCCGCAAATTCCGCGTTCGAGGCCACAGGTTTGAAGCCCAGACTGCCAATACATGTGTATTTGTGTATTGTTGAATACTTATTCCGTTTATAGCGACTTCAGTGACGTGATAGAGGGGGACAAACTGTTCTCGTGGGATCGGTGTAGCAACGCTTAAGAATTTTATAAGTGGTGTTAACCATATCGCATCAGCGTTCGTAGAAACATACGGAGTCACCCAGTCAACACCATACCGACATTGCACCCAACAAAAGTGGCACAGCGCGTATATATATATATATATATATATATATATATATATATATATATATATATATATATATATATATATATATATATATATATATATAACAATTTTGTGTGAATGAGCGCTTAGTGTAACCATGGTGTAACGTATCATACATCAAATTGTGCCATGGTATGCTCATCCAGCGGCCGTGGCTCACCACTGTGCAAGAACAGCGTCCCTGGCATATTATACTTCGATAAACGGCAGGTGAAGAGGCCGTGATCGCACCATGATCGTGACATGTAAATTATGTCGTTCACGACATGAAAATTATGGTTTTTTTTTGTTGTGACATGTCATTTATATTCGTCATTCAGTGATTTTATGCCTTCCTAATTTTGGTATACATTACATTAACGAAACAACCGAGAGAACACAAAGTTGATTGATTGATATGAGGGGTTTAACGTCCCAAAACCATGGTATGATTATGAGAGATGCCGTAGTGGCGGGCTCAGGAAATTTCGACCACCTGGGGTTCATTAACATGCGCCCAAATCTGAGCACATGTCCTACAGCATTTCGATTATTGATATGTGGGGTTTGACGTCCCAAAACCACCATATGATTATGAGAGACGCTGTAGTGGAGGGCTCCGGAAATTTCGACCAGCTGGGGTTCTTTAACATGCGCCCAAATCTGAGCACACAGACCTACAGCATTTCGATGATTGATATGTGGGGTTTAACATCCCAAAACCACTATATGATTATGAGAGACGCTGTAGTGGAGGGCTCCGGAAATTTCGACCAGCTGGGTTTCATTAACGTGCATCCCTACAGCATTTCCGCCTCCATGGCATCAGAAATGCAGTCGCCGCAGCCAGAATTCGATCCCGCGACCTGCGGGTCAGCAGCCGAGTACCTTAACAGCGGCGGGGCGATCGAGAGCACCAAGTCGTAAGCAGATAGATAGATAGATAGATAGATAGATAGATAGATAGATAGATAGATAGATAGATAGATAGATAGATAGATAGAATTTTTTAAATTTAATAGAGGGACCTCTAGAGCTGCGATCGTTCAGCGATCATGGCAATGATGGGTATAGTACACGGATTTGTTTACAGTCTTCGTACTTGTGGGCCTCCAATCGCACTTGTGGCTTCGTTTATTGCTGTGCTTCGGTTTTGTTTCGAAGGAAAGAACGAACCCTTTCTATGTGACCCGACTTGAAATGGTAAGCCTATATGATGAATGTGGTGAAGCGCAACTGCTGAACAATATCTGATTTTTTGTTTCGTGACAGAACAGCTTCAAGGCAAGCGAACCCAAACAGAGCCGGAAGTACGAAGATTAGACAGATCCGTGAACTACCCATAATCGTGCTCGCTGAAGAGTTCCCAGAGTTCCCTCTAGTGTGGCAGCTTGGGCTAGTTGGTATGACATGACGATAGTTATAGCGCGAGAACAGAACGACGACACAGAGACAAGGACATGAAGGACAGTGCTCATGTCCTTCTTGTCTGATAGTCGTCGTTCTGTTCTCGCGCTATAATTATCGTCGTTCCCTCTAGTGTATTATTAGGAAACTCTGTGAGATAGATAGATAGATAGATAGATAGATAGATAGATAGATAGATAGATAGATAGATAGATAGATAGATAGATAGATAGATAGACTCGATAGATTTGTGGGGTTTAACGTCCCAAAACCACCATATGATTATGAGAGACGCCGTAGTGGAGGGCTCCGGAAATTTCGACCACCTGGGGTTCTTTAACGTGCACCCAAATCTGAGCATACGGGCCTACGACATTTCCGCCTCCATCAGAAATGCAGCCGCCGCAGCCGGGATTTGAGCCCGCGACCTGCGGGTCAGCAGCCGAGTACCTTAGCCACTAGACCACCGCGGTGGGGCAGATAGACAGACTCCTAGTAGCCGAAGTTTGCTAAGAAATGCTCCGAATTTATAAATGAAAAGAGATACCTCGTAAGCAATATGGCATTTCCGCGGTGTCAAGAAAGGACTTAGGAGGAAACGTTCGCACTCTGCTGTAAAGGCGCGAATCCAGCGAGAAAATTGATATTTCCGTGCGTTTGCTGGGTAGCTATATATATATATATATATATATGATTGCCGCAACGTTGCCTAGTCACACTATATATCATTGACCCGCTGCACTTGCCTGCATGAAATGGGGGCTAGGTGGTTATGTAAATGGTGGGTTGTGGAAGTAAACGGTCTCAATTTTCGAGTTTGTGTCAGCATCGATTAGAAGTGATTGTGACTGCTCCTTACGCCAGATCTGAAGCTTTCCTCAAACGCTGTTCGCGTAACGCTATCATGCCGCGCATTACGCAGTCCGTTCCACCTCGTTTGTCCTCTCCCGTTGCCGATGAGACGGCGTCGTTCTGTCGTCGTACGCGTGTTCTGTACGCGGCAGACATCGGTGTACAGGCGCGCCTCTCGTTTTCCGCAGTCATCTGGGCACGCGCGTGCCGTCGTGTAGGATATCGGCCTTGTGGTCGGGGCCAAAGCCTTCGGCCACGTCGCGAGTTCGCCGGTTCCGAGAGGGGGGCCAGCCGCGGCCGTTGTATTGGGGGGGAGGCAGCAGCATTGATGGCGAAATGCTGCGACCACGGCTTGCGAAGAAGGGACACGCGTTCGCAAAGCGAGGAGCTGCACGCGACAGCAGCGAAGCAGGGCAGGTGGTCGACTGGCGGGAATCAATAGCGGAGGGGAGGTTCGGCCGTCTGTCCCGAGCGCACGCACACACCTCCCCCCTCTCTGCGGCGGCGCCCATATACCTGCCCCTACCTCCGTCCAGGTGTGCGCGGCCTCCTCTCCTGGCGCGACGTCATTGGTCCGCTCGGCCCGGTGACGTCAGGTGGGGCGCACCACAAAGGTGCGCCCTTGGAGGGAGGGTTAGGCTACGGTGGGGGTTTTTGAAAGAGGGGGGGGGGATGACGTGAATTAAAGAAGGCGAAGAATGAGGCAACAATAAGAAACAACAAAAAACATTACGAAAGGCGCAAGCCACGGCCCAGCGAACAGCGACGCTGGGCACATGGGCGGCGAGCGAGAAGCCGGCGGCTAGCAGTTGTTGCGAGGAGAGCATCTAAGGAGAGTTGCCGTCGGCGCGGGCGGACTCGTGAAAGCGCAAGGCACGTCAGCCGCAGGTGTGCGCGCCTCCAGCGACAAGCAGACCCCGGCCCCTGAGCCGCCGCGCGCGCGCGCTCGCGCCCCACGACGCTGTGCTGCTGCCTTCGTTGCCCATCGAGGCGCGTCTCCCCATGCGCGCAGTTAGGCCTAGCTAGAAGAACGCCGCCGCACGAGACCACGACGACACACGGCCGGATTACGAGAGGCGAGCACAGCGGCGCACCACGTCGTCCCCCATGTCCGTGGCCAACACCGAGAGCTCGATGACTCTGAGCCAGAGCATGGATTCCGTCAACACGGTCGCCGAAGAAGAGGTGAGTCGCGCACACGTTCCGCCACGCGCGCGCATATAAATGCACGAGGTGATAGCCGCGTGCTCCTCTTCAGAAAGCCTGACAATGGCGCCACCAGCGATCGAGCAGAGCAGACGCAGCTTGGCCTTTTTTCTTTGTGTTTCACCTTTCTATATGTCAGCTGTTGTCGGAGGGTATACTTATATATTTATGCAAGACAACATCTGCCGTCTGCCTGAAAGCGCCGTTGCCATAGTTGCCCTATTCTTTGCCGGCGACGCTGTATGCTCATTTAGCAAAGGTTTCGCATACGGATTTGTCGCCTACTGATTCCGCGTGTGCGTACGTTGACCGCTTTGAAGAAGCTATTTGGCATGGCGAATTTGAAAACGCATTGTCTCTTGCGGGTCCCGATCGGTGCATGGTTCTGGAATAGAATAGAGACACCATTAGCGTGATATCTTTGTCCTTCAAGCTACACGATGCTTGTCAAAAACAGGCGTCACGTTTCTTGCCATATAAGGTCACCAGTCTCATCACCGAGCCTCCTTCACAGCCCTGCTGTGCACTTGATGAAGGCTGATGTCTTCGTAGCCTTTGCAAAGGAAGTACGTTAACGGGTTTGCAACAGTACTGGCTTAAGTCAGCGCGTGGACAAGTGCGATGACAGAGCTTCCGTGTTTAAAGCGACGGGCATGTAAATCTCGCACAGCGTTTCTGCCCGTAGTTATCCGGAGGTCCATGCCGGACGCTGGACATACAAGCAGCTATACTTGAACTGTCTTCAATGCTGTACCTGGACTTGTGAGGGGAACTTACGGCTGCTTACGGAGAAAGTTGGTAGCCACGCTTGTGACGCTAAAGGGGCCCTGTAACGCTTGAAAACATCGGTGCTGACTGCATAACTTTTAGTAGAACTCGCCAAAACTATTGCGAGCGGAAATGACAACGGAAGGGACAAACCTTTGATTGGATAAATGTAACGTTAGATGTGATCGCGGCATTGCATCAAAACAAGCATTACTATTGGATTTATTTTTTTTATTTAGCATGGTTTTTCACTGAACGCGCAATAAAATAAAGCTCTCCGACTTCTTCAGCTTGAAAACTGCAAAGCCGGTCAAAGAGTGTGCCGAACGCGATGAAGCTAAGAAACGCACCGCGGCGACGCTCTATGCCTCCTTCGAAAAAAACTTTAAAAAAAAAACGGAAGATCGTTGACATATGTAGACGCCATCGCAAAAAGAGAGATCAGTAAAGCTACAAAACACTATAGAAGCGTTCGCGAGCTGCCTCGTTTCGCACTGTTCCTTCAATTGCCACATTATTTGTTACCATCGCAACGGCGTCCGCAATACGTTGGACATAACGGGCAATATGGCATGCAAGCTTCCTGTACTGTACAGGGCTTTCAGTTCATTTCGTTGGGCAGCCTTCCGACGTCACCGGATGAGGAAAACTTGGTCAGATGAGCCCGCGAAAATCGTTGAGGGTAAGCATGCATGTATATTGATATCTCTACGCAAAATAACTTAGCATGCAGTGCGTGCCCCTATCACTGCCGTTTTTGCAGCACCTATATCTTCAGTGTGTACGAAGCCTTCAGTGTGTACGAAACCAGCTATAGAAACACATGTAAAACGACGAGGTCGTGAAAAGTGTGAGAGGGCCCCTTTAAGGCAGCCTGAAGTTGAGGACCCCGATGTTACCTGCTCAGCGCATTTCTGGCACAATCAGGACGTGGCCGCCAGTTGCAGATAATTTCAAGACCTCTCCCTGTGGAGCCCACCATGCGGTTCCGAAGCTTGGAACAACTTTGTGGAATTGAAGTGAGCATTATACAGCTTTATCGAGATGTCCACATAAGTTCTGCTACGTTGTTCTCAAACAAGACATGCTGTGCGGTTTCATCATAAGACATTCGCATTTTACTTTGTCTTAGACCCCTGAATCACCACAGACAATGTGCTGGAGCTTTCGAACTGACGCCACTGAGATTTTAAGCAAGAGACGATTCATTAGCTAGGGTGTGCACTGCCACGTATATATTTTTGGTTCGGGACAGCAAGTGGCCTGAAAGGATGGTGTCAGACCGCGTCGATTGTTTCCAAAGGCATGTGCTCTATCTTAATCGGCATTTTTGATTAACGTTAGGGTGTGTTTTAAGTTTTCGTTGAACTCCGTGGATCAAACGCTCAACCATGTTTCTGGGAAAATGTCCTACGCAGTATCGAGTTAGTGATATGCCCGGCTGGGCCAGGTTCACAAAACTTCTCAGGTATTCCGCAGCTACGTATAAGATACGAAAGAAGCTTTTACACGTAAAAAAGCTTCGTCAGAACGAGCTCAGTCCTTTCACATTATACCGTGTAGCAATAAGGCATGCAAGCGTTCAACTGGCGCCTCTTAGAAGGACATGTAGGGGAAATTTGGGATATATTGCGTTTGAGTGTTCCTCGACTGGGTTTAAGACAACTTCGTGGCATACCATCTATACGCCGACGAGCCCGCGTAAGATATACTATAGAATACATGGCATTGGTTAACAATGAACGTGCCATACAACGAAAACAGTTTAAACCATCAAAATATGGCAAGTGCCACTGGTTTGAAGTGTTGAATGTTATATATATTGTCATTGCAACATCATCGTCTGATTGATTGATATGTGGGGTTTAACGTCCCAAAACCACCATATCATTATGAGAGATGCTGTGTATAGTGGAGGGCTCCGAAAGTTTCGACCACCTGGGGTTCTTTAACGTGCACCTAAATCTGAGCGCACGGGCCTACAACATTTACGCCTCCATCGGAAATGCATGCAACCGCTGCAGCCAGGATTCGATCCCGGGACTTGCGGGACATCATCGTCTAAAAAGAGAAGATGAGAAAAAAGCTGTAAAAGCTGTCTGAACCGCCGGGCTATTTGCTATAGTATGAACTGATACATGTATATATAGCGTATGCATTGATGGTCAGATATATATGAATATCAATGATAATATATGGGGCTTCGCTGCACAGTAATGTTTATGCATGCTGCTTTCACCAGGACGATTCTCGGAGAATGTTTTGCGTATTGTGCAGTGTTTCTAAGGGTTGGATTTTTCCGTGGTAATTTATACGTGGGCCTATCGCGTGGAGCCACAGAACTCGAGGTCCCGGGTTCTATTCCTGACCGCAGTGGTCACATCGCGATGCAAGACATATTTATTTTATACATAAATGAACCATAAAGAAAAAAATGAAAGCCCACACGGCTTGAGTGGAACATTCAGGACAGCCACAGCGAAAGCTGTACAAGTGGCCTTTATATATAGAGTCCGCGTAAGCTCTCTTCAGGCGACTATACTGCAAGTACAGTAGCGCCATAAGTCATCGTAATTTTGGCCTTCACAGTTCTTCATCGGTAAAAGCGTTTTTTTCTTATACGGGGTGCTCAACATATTCTATTAAGCTAATGAGGCCAAATACGGAACAAAAGAAGGACTTCGAAGTTTGTAACGTAAAGTCTACATTCAGGTGCTAAAATATTGGCGCGAAATTAAAAAAACAAAATTCGGCCTCAATTTTCTCTTGCAGTAATTAGCACGTGGTGGCGAAATTAACAACTGATAAAAAAATAATCTATGAATATAACCTGGTCTAGCGTTTCACTTTCACGTCCTTTAAGTTTGCTGCGCAGAAGCTCACTAAGTTTTCAAAATACATTTGTAATCCGGCCCCGCCACGGTGGTCTAGTGGCTAAGGTACTCAGCTGCTGACCCGCAGGTCGCGGAATCGAATCCCGGCTGTGGCGGCTGCATTTCTGATGGAGGCGGAAATGTTGTAGGCCCGTGTGCTCAGATTTGGGTGCAGGTTATAGAACCCCAGGTGGTCGAAATTTCCGGAGCCCTCCACTACGGCGTCTCTCATAATCATATGGTGGTTTTGGGACGTTAAACCCCACATATATATCTATCATTTGTAATCCTACACAGTGGCAGGCATCATAACCGTGTCGTATTTTCGGCAACAAAACCCCCCAGAATTCCAGCTCGCGAGTGGCGCTTGACAACCTCGATATATTCGATCGTTCGCTCAAACGGCATTCCAGGTTGATAGTTGTGAGTTATTTATGCGTTCCCACCGTGCAGGACTGCGGCTGCGCCTGTTGTTTTGTGCTGCGCTCCCACATCTTTATGGGAAGGAACTAAATATTTGACGCCCGCTGGTTCGCAGACAACAACCGCGAATTCATCTGAGCACCACTGATTGACGGCCCATCGGAATTGGCTTGCCTTGGATTTCCATCTTTGCTTTGGACACAGGATGAATGCAGCAGTGGCGAAGTCTGTTAAAAAAAACTGTTAACGATTTAGAGTACTTGGTACCCCCATGGGCCTTATACTTGATGAAGCCCTGTTGAAAAAATTGTTAAGGACTCAAGGTACACATGTGTTTAGAAAGAGTGTTGAACGATTTTGAGTTGGAACTGCATGTACTATGAGAAAGCAAACAACCGTCAGATAATCATTGCTTATTTCTAGCGGACGAGAACATGTTGTTAGAAAAAATTTATTGTCACAAACATCAATAAAACTCAACAGAACATTTCCTTCGTATAGACAAACTCTAACGATGATGACAAAACAGACGTCATTTACATGAACATGAATATGAGATGACGTTGAAAGAACATGTACATTCGATGGTTCACACAAACACAACCACAAAAAAAAATTCAAGGTAAACAAGAGACACAAAAAAATATGAATATGTACATTTTGCATATTTACATGTTGGCATGCCATTTCTGCCAGTGCATCGACACATCAGCCTACCAATACCAGGCCGGCCATATTCAGTCTTTTTTTTTATGTGAAAACATTACAAATGGGAAATTAAAAATGCACCGTTATATCTATAAAAATGCGTCCCTCCAAAATTACCTGGTCATACGCGTACAAATACGCGTAGTTTTCCAATAAATGATGACCTCTCAATCGTGGGCTTGTCGGTAATCAGCCGTTTCTCTTATG